TTTAGAAATAAGGTAATGTGGTAATTGTTTCCATGGAAAATATGGCATCAACTTCGGAACAACTTCTTATTGTTTTAGTTTATTCTAATTTTTAATAATTTTATTTGACAATGAAATAGGATGGAAACAAATAAAGATGTCAAGTGAACTTATTATAATAGCAAAGGGACAATATTTAAGTAGCAATAAATTTGATTAGGCTACGATACCTTTATACATAGTTTGATTTATCAAAACTCAACCAAAAAGACTCGATTTCATTAATTCTTCTCTCGAATTAAGTGACGTTAAATCTTTCAATAAAAGTAAGATGTTTGTTTTGTGAATATGTCATCTTTGTTTGGTCCATGGGTTGTGACAGCCTTTCTAGTTCAAGCACAATCTTGATTTGCTTGAGTTTTCTGCTTCCTTATTCACAAGGTAGCATTAATATACGAGGAGCTTACAGGAGGAGGATTTTGTATCACAATAACGTTGTGCTCTATTTTTATTTTTTATTTTGACTTTAATTGCTAAAATGTTTGCTCTGACGTATTGTCAGAATTAATCCCTGAAAGTACAACCTCTATACTTGAAAATACTACTCCCTAAATTTTTAATTTGTTCTTTACTCCATTTTTTTTACTTTTAGATCGTCCATGTCTAGAGGCACGAAAAAGAAAAAGAGGGATTGCTCGACCAATTTGAACATATCCATAAATAGCTTTTATCTGTCCTGGATGAGGGAATAAATGCGAGTACAGTCGAACTGAATTACTTGATTCATGGCTCTCAAACCTAACCTTTGGTGGATTTCCAGTAATATGTCTTAAGTTTCTTCTATGTCAGTATGTTAGAGTCAACTAAAAAGACTTAGACTTTTTTGCCTCCTCTTTGCTAGAAAAGCTATAAAATGTTTCAAATACATATTGACATCTAGTATTACTTTTTCAAATAATCATTTGTTTTGAGAGATTTATATGTTGAATATTTGCCTTGTCCAATTTCCGCTGCAAGAAGCATTGAAAAAGGCCAGGCAAGCAACATAGAATCTATTTTTCCTCCATCTTCAACATTAGGTATAGTATTATATCCCAACTCTCCTAATATTTTTTGTACTCCCATACCATAATATATTTTTTGTACACCAAATTTCTTCGTTTAGACCATACTTTTCTTTAGACATAAGGATGACAATATAATAATGAATCAATGATCTAGAGAAGGGCAGGACTTTAGACGCAAAAATAAATTTAACTTGCTAACTTCCCAAGAGAAAATACATCTAGCAATTAAAATAAATAGTGACAATCTGCAGGAGCAAAGTTAATAATAGGTCAATAACACCAAAGTACTTGCCATGATCAACTAAAGAAGAATTATGTGCAACTATAGATGATATCTTAGTACTTTAGATAGGTTTGTAAGATGGTATGATCTCTAAATTATTTTATACGAGTCACCAATTGGAGATAATGCATTTGCAGCTAATATAATAGCAGAGCATCAATTCACCATTTGCCCAATAAAATTAATATTGCTGTAAACAGAAATTGTGAAAGTTGCATGCATATTATTTTGGTTTGTTTGGACTACATGATGTTTATAAGCTTTTCTGACAGCAACAGAATGATGTACATTTATTTGGACAGCATGACTTATAAGATTGATGTATTTCTTGTCTTGATCCATGCCAGTTAGTGGAAGAATCATGTTGATTACGGAACATGACATAGCCACCTACTTCACACGTCTTTAAGAATCTCCTTTTTCGTAGGACATGTTTACTCTATAGGAAAAATCAATGTTCTCGATCTGTCTGATTCCTTCCTCCAGCAACTTCCACTCAGCTCGATAGCCGACCATTTAACGCTTCTATGGAAGATCTGTGCTCCAGTTTTCTCGATTCTATAGAGAGAGAAGCTCATCTAGGTATATTTTCTTCTCTTAATTAATAGAGATATAATCTGCAATATAAAATAAGAAGTGATTGTAATAAGTTATTGACTATACTTACATCTCTTGGGGAACATATGTTAAAAATAACAGCAGTTATAATTTTTTATTATCTTGTCTAATTGCATAATAGATAAACAATAACTGAGAAGATCAAAAGACCAAATAATTGAGAGAAAAGGCAAAAGAAGGAGGTTAAAGATAAATCGTTTTCCTGTCTAATACAAGTATCATAGCATCTCTTCTTAGACCACACATGAAGACATACAATAAGCATAATTAATGGCAAGGCATATGAGCATTTTAATTAATAAACTGGTTTATCAGTATCATGCTTTGACAATTGTGTAGCTGTTATGGGGATGCCAAAGTTATGGCTGAGACGGTGTACCTGAAAAATCAAAAACACTGTAAAGCTCTCATCAGTTGTTCCAATCCTTTCCCTTTTCTATTTAAAATGAATCAGCAGAATATGATTAGCTTCTGATTATAGAAAAAATATAGTGCAGAAAATGATAATGTAAATATGTTGATCTATATTTCAATGCACAAAATCATTTCTGGCATAAGAAGACACCTGAATATAATCCTCAACAAAATATAACAAAAATATGAGGCCTCCAATAATTTGATTGACATAATTTAAACTACACACCTTATTCTGAAATTCGCAACTGGTATATCTAATCTTTGTTATAGTATAAAAATACTTGTTGATTGAAAACTATCTTTTCATCCAACTTCAAACCTAAAGCACCTTCTGCGTACTATGAATTTATTGCTAAGATGACAAAAAAACATTTTAATGCTCATCTTAAGTATCACGAACTTTCAGACTTGGCATCAAGCAAAAGTTTTCCTTCAAGGAAAAGCTTTTACTACTAATTATTGTGCCATCTAAGTGGTGAAAAATGCTTGTCTATGCACTTAGAAATTATTTTAAGTACAAGTATAAAATAAATAATTAAAAGCAACTACATGTGTGGACCACAAGCTTCCATCATAGACATTCTCAGCAAGAATGAAAGAGCCCATTGTATCATGGTATTTAAATGGGTCCGCGTGCATAGAATAAAAAATTAACTGTAATTGTTTTTACGTTAGAAGCTGTCAACCAAAATAAGGGAGAAAATAGTTTTACCTAGTTATATTACGAATCTGACATAATTTGTTAAATCAGTGATCCGCACATAGACTGTTTCATGTATTTGCTTGTTGGGATTAAGATCAAAGAATATTTTCAAGGATGGGTTGTGATGCATCTGCCAGAAAGATGGCAATAGACAATAGTTCGCAACCTACTCCAAGTAAATTTGAGACCACATATGTTAAAACTGAAAATGCCCAATAAAGTAGACTAAATCGACTATAAGAAATTCAATAACAACGGCAAATCATTCTATAAAAAAAAAAAAAGACTTTCCAACTAAAGCTCAAAAGATTGACCAACACTTCATACAATTATGATCTATTTGGGTACATTTCGTTCGAATTTCACTCTTTATACCATTTATGACATCCTCTTAAATTGTTTCAAAAATAAACAACACTAAAATTAAGTTAAAAAATTAGGAAGAAAGGGACCCGTAAAGTCATGACTTTTCCACTAATTTTCTCGGGACCAGACATCATGTTGTCTTTGGCTTGGTAACCGAGATGACAGGGGTTTGCCAGTGGTAACCATCGCTGATTTATGGCTTCGAATCCGAAACGAAAATTCTGCAACCAGTGGAATTCGCCTTCT